TTTTCTTTTTCCTTGAGAGAGGAACAGAAGACTGCCCTAGAAGCCTTTGCTTCCTGGAAGGATTTTTTTGCCGGTTTGCCGACTGGATACTGCAAAAGCATATTATATCAGTTAGCCCCACTGGTCGGCAAACCAATGGGGCTTACTGCAATGAATACGTCACCTTGTTTTTTGCTCTGATTGGCCATCGTGCTATCCAATTGCGTGCGGCGGCATTTGAAATGCCTCAGTTAGTGCCGCCTCTTGGGTAGGAAGGGTGTATCGGTGAGGGCCAGACTGAAAATCTTTCTAGATTTGAGTCTGGATTTCCAGGCTAGCTTACGTCCCCTCCCCCAAGTTCTAGACAAATGATTGGATTGTCTGCTAATTAATTTGGTGATCCCCTTACTTTTTATAGAATAAAATATCTTTGATGTTAGATTCAGCCTGCAATTTTCATGATGATAATATGATAAATAAACCAAAAAATATATAATTGAGCTAAAACAGCAATAAATATGGTTAAATAGCAATAAAGTTGAAAAGCAGTGAGTGAAATGTCTCCAAAACTACTGAATCATTGTCTTTGAAATTTGGTACACCCATTCATGTCCACCAGCCCTCAGGATAAATTATAATAATTTTGGTGACCTCCTAACTTTTCATCTAGCGTTATCATCGGGTCAGAGTTTGTCCAATGCTCTGGTTTAGGACCTAATATCTGCAAAACTAATGACATTCCCATCTGCCTCAGCTGTACTTTGTGTTTAGCCAATGTTAGCATTCTGAAACTCTAAACTACAATGGTTACTATGGTAAAGTATAGCTCTCCATTAGCATGTTAGCATTGTTTATGTGAGCATGTTAGAATGACATTAGATTATAAGCACTGATGTGCCTAAACAGAGCCTCACAGAGCTGCTAGCTTGGCTGCAGATTCTTGTATTTTTGGTGAACTGACCTATTAAAAAAACAGTAGCTAGCAAAAAGTACCTTCAAAAGGTACTGTCCCTTGGCAGATAAATAAAATACCACAGTTTTATTGGAAAGGGCTCTTTAAAGGCCAGTGGTTACAGACTAAGTTAACAGGTATCACTGGAGTCATTTGGCTAAACAAGTAGATCAAACACAAGATTACAGTATTCAAATTCAATGAGCCAGGAGAGGAAATGAAAGGTACGTAGGAGGCAAACAGGTTTCGGGCAGGACAAATGAATAAATACATTCAGGCACATTTTGCAATATAGACTTCCAGCAATATACAAATGTCTCACAGTGTCTGCAGTGGCGTGCTCTATCAAAATCAGTCTGATGTTGCTACAGCTAATTTCTAGATAAAAATCACCATCTTGATTTCTCATTTTGGGGTTTTGTTAGATTTCAAATGAAAAACCAGTCTTGGCTTTCAGATTATGAAACTCTCATAGCCAAATTTAGATGATAACTACAATTTTGAAACTTATATAGGACGATGACAAGCTAGCAGCAAGCACTTGTAAACTGCACTGTGGTCCTACTCAACACCACTCCTTCTGTGTCTCCCTGAAATTATGAATGCAAGGCTTACAGTAACAAGGCAGTGGGACAGTAGGTTTTCATCTGATGTCAAATAAACAAAGTTTTGGCTTCTTATATAGTAATATTAATATACAGCATGCACCCAAAGTCCCAAGGTCAATGGGCTCTGTCACGTATCTTAGATGCCACAGTGAGTCCAAAGACAACACTGACATCATTAGAAAGCAAAGAATCCCCTCTTTCCAGTAATGTCTTAATTAAAACCACATAAAAATGTTGAGCGATAAAGCAGGTAGGTGTCTCCTCAGTATCACTGGGAGACTATTTGAAGGCCTCTGCATCGTCCTGAATACTATTTTAGAAGGCCAAAAAGTGAAAAAGATAAATGGCAGTAACATATTGGGAATATGTTGCAGGTGTATGTCACAGCATGAAAAATTATCTCAGAAGGTGACAAAGTTGTCATTTGATTTGATATGCTTTTATCTGACTAGAGTGTAAAACAAATCAAAATAGGCATGAACTTAATTATTTCCAGATTTATTGCAGTTGTAAAGCAATCAATGAAACAGACAGGCACATACATAACAGATGGAATAATTAACATTCAAGTACAGGTATGCAGAGAGTAGGAAACACTTCATTAAGAATATAATGGAAATTTTGATATTATGCAGACAAATGTGAAGACAGTGATGTGGTGGCAGTCATGTGTTTGCAAGTTTAAATAAATTATCTAAATGTGGCTGCATTATTTTTTCAACTTTGCCTATAACAGAGATCTGCTGCCATAAATGGAAAAATAGATAGCGTGCGCATTAGCTTGTGTATTCTACCTTTGCAAAGTTTCAGAATAATTTTCCAGGGAATTATGAAAGCAAAGAACCTAAAGCAGGAACAGTCTGAGGCATCTTTGTTGTTTTATAATGAGTTGGCTGAAAAACAAGGGGACTGACAAATAGTCTAAAGCAGGGGTCTTCAACGTTTTTCAGGCTAAGGACCCCTTGGTCCAAAGACAATCATATATTTTCAAAAAAAGAGTTGCACTTGAGATAGCTCTGAATATCTTTCGGGTCTTCTCTTGTTTGCCTAGCTGCTAACTAAGCAGCAGTTTTAGCATTGCTAGGTGCGTTAGCCTCACCATCTGCACTTTCAGTGGTGGTTTCCACGGTGTGTCAGAGTCTGTTAAAAAGTTATGAAACAATCCATTGTGGCACACAAGAATGTCTGTACACTTGACGTAGTAATAAAGCTAACTAGCTAATATGCAAAAATAATTACAGGTGCCACACAGTGATGTAGTGTTAGCTAACTCACATGATCACATAACAATTGCTGGGTAACAAACGTAATCAAAAATGTTGTGTACTGTTAAAGGGCCAGTGTGTAAAATGGGTTGAAAACAGTGACATCAGTGGTCAAATTCTAGATTGCAGGGCTCACTCGCTCACCCCTCCCGTTGGGTAAATGACGGTGGCCTCGAAGGGACAAAAAGCCTTGCGCAGACACGAGTTTTTCAGGAGTAGGTCTATCTAGCGACGAGGTGAATATTTATTTAGAAATCTAAACCATGTTACGATATTGTAATGAATCCCTCACGAGCAGGAGACCAGAGGAGCGTTCGGGAAAAAGGCCAGTTTGTTTGAGCACTCCAAAAACTCCGGTAACACTCCAGGGGGTAAAAGACTCCGTCCCAAACTCTGACTCTTCAAGCGTAACACACACACATACACACATACTCATTTACCATACTGAGTGGGGACCCCCTTCCCTCTCTGCTCTGCCAATCTCCAGCCCGCACACTGACTGACAGCGTAGCCGGTAAACAGAGCTCAGCTGTTTATTTAGCCTAGCAATATCTCTTGACTATAGTAGCTGCAATGGACGACTTTGATCGCGATTTTGAAGAGTTTCTTGTAGCGGACACAGACCCAGAGCCATACCTGTTTGAGCCGGAGCACACAGATGAGGAACTCGTTTGATGCTGAGCGGGCGAGAAGAGAGGCTGAATGCACAGAATGGGATTCGGTGCTACTGCTACCATCGTTGGGGAGATATATCATCAGGAGGAAAAGCGCCGCAGAGAGTGCATCACAAGGAGTGAAGTTGCTTCTTCTTTTCCTCTCAGTTGACGGTTCTGGTTCATTCTCTCCTGTTGCGTGGTAAGTGTGGTCCATTTGCAAACTTTATAACTAAAAAAACCTTTCACTACTCTCTATCGACGAACTAGTAACACTCTCTGCTGTTTCCTTCTCCTTCTTCCTGCCTTCCGCTGTCTTCGTTGGTTCATTTATATATGCGAAACGCGTTCTCTGGCTGGCTGGACTGTCCGCTCGGTCTGCCGTACATATATGGCGGCGCAAGATGGCGACCTCTCTAAAGCAAGGCCCTTGCTATATAAGGCTACGAAAACCAAATGAATTTTATTTTATAGCGATTATACACTTGTATAAACACATTAATGGGCAGAATATTCAGATTCAGATTCAGATTGACAATAAACCATGCCAAATATTACACACTGGCCCTTTAACAAATTTTATGAATTTATGGTTTTATGAATAGGCTGATTTATCTTGGCTAATAATATGTTAGATTCAAGTTAAAGTGAATTTTCTGACACATTTTACTTACTGAAACTTTAATTAATTAATTAATTAGATTATTTAGAGGCCATTTGGTGGCCCCCCTATAGTAACTCTGAGGACACCCTAGGGGCCACGGACCCCCTGTTGAAGACCCTGGGGCTAAAGGTTTTGGCTGAATAACATTTGTACTCCTTTACAGAGAACAGGGACGGTGCTTGGATTCATTTGCAAAGCGTTTAGGTAAACTTGTCAGTCCACTCCTGCAGCATAATTCAGCTGTTTGTTTGTCTACAGAGTATGAAGAATGATAGAGTGCTTCTGACTGATGCAGGAACAAGAGGAGGAAAAGCAATGTACGTACGTGATCATGAGTTCAGCAATCATGTGACGGGTATGACAGGAGCAATATAACCACATTTTGTCAAAGTCATGTTGCTGTATTGAGAATTTGAATGAAAACCACTGGACAGATGATGCTACAGGGGCAGTCTGAAAACTCTTTATGGACATTTTGATTCTCTGTGGAGAATCAGACTACCAACGCCAAGTCTACAGTCAGGTGACGGTCTCATACTAAAATGATTTGGAGTGGAATATCACTTTAAACTGTTGGATTTTTCTTTCAAAATTCTTGAGCACTTAAATACATCTTGGCACAGATATACATTCAAATGTTCGTATATACAGTTGTGCCTGCGCTAAAGCGCTTTGGTCTGGTCCAGTCTGACACTGCGTGGAGACAAACAGTCAATCAAAGATTCAATACACACGACGCAGAGACTACAACATGAAAAGGCACTGTGGAGAAGAGAGAAAGAGAGAAAGGGGACATCGCCATGCAGGGCTAGTAGTGTGCAGATGTGTGCGTGTTTTCTGCCAAACAGAGTCCTCCAGAGTTGTAGTCAGCTTATCTCATCACGCGTCTTTCGTGCGTTCATCGCCCTTCAGCCTCTCTCGCTCTCGGTGCCGCTGGATGGCTCGCCAGATGCGGCAGAGGACTCCACCACTGAGGAGAAGAAGGATTAATCATGATAGATTTGTGTATGATAGTGTCAAAATTTGTCATTCAGAGAGGAAGATCTACTTCAGCTACTCTTGGAAGCTGATTTAAATTCATATTATCTGTCTTACTTTATTCTTATGGTGTTTTATTCTTTGTTTTTTGATTTAAGGCCCAGACACTCCAAACCTACATCAAAGGATTAGTGGTAACAAAGGCCAACTGCTGCGTCACCTCACATTGCATGTGTCTCTGCCAAAAAAGTTGCAGCTAAACATAGATTACAGCCAACAGCCAACTAGCACGTACACTCTGTGCCTGTGTGGGAGGAAATAATAAAGGAAATAATAGCGGCATTAGTCTGTATACACCACTCAAGAAGGTAAACCAGAAGACTGACAGGACAGGTTCCACACACTAGACTAGACAGTTAGCACAATGACAATTACAAGAGTTCAATGGCAAAAAAAATTATCATACCTAATATAACAAGTTTGTTTTGAACTCACTCCCTTTTGACTTTAGTCGTTTATTTGCTTCCCAAACTTCTGTTTTTACTCTCATGCACTAAGTTGAACTGCCAATCGGAGTGATTTCATTCACCGACGAGCTCTGCCATCTCTGACGCTGAATCAGCTGAAAAAAGCCAACAAGAGCTGACTGGTGCCAACAGTGTGAGACACACCATCAAAACCAGGGCGACAGATGCCCATCGATGATCCAGCATTGACCGTCGGCTCGGCCTGGCCCTAAAAGACGCCATTAGGTTCATTACAAAAGCAACGAGGCTGATCCTTAATTTGGTTGCATCACTTATGTTCTCAGAGGCTGAAATTGAGTACAAGAAGAGATGAAGGCTTTTTGATGTCACAGTCAATACAGATCAACCCAAAAGCCTCATAAGGACACAAACAGATTGTACACAAAACACGTAGGGTGGCACAACAAATTTAATTTAAATCAACCCCTGTGCTTGTTGAGTTAGCATTTTGAGGTTTATTCCCTTGATGCTGTTAAAGTTTCTTTCGCAGAAATTCTGACAGACCTGCAGCCTTGCTAAAAATCTGCAAGGTATGCTACTATAATGTCAGATCCCTTGAGCACCTGCTGATTTTGCCGTGAGACAGCTCAGGTAAAACAGGGTCAATGTCAAAGAGGCAAAATGGAGATTTTGTACACGTGTGCACATCATTTTTGTTTTAAAGAACTGTGAGGATTAGTAGTTCTTCTAATGATGTTTGTCACCCTCCAAGAGAAGCTTGATTTGATGTTCCTTTCTGTTAAATGTGTGGCAGGATTAATGACAGAGTAGATACCGTAGGCGTAGACAGTGGAGGTCGTCTTTGGTAACGTCATTGAGAATGTCGGTCAGTGCGTATTCCTCCAGCACAAACTACAACACAACACAACAGGCATTAGTTTGAAACTGCACTGATGTGCTGCTCATAGACAGATATTTAAAAGCCAACAGACACTTAACCTTATCTATGGTGTCAGCATCTGCCCCCTGCTCTCTCAGCCAATCAGTGAGCTGCTTGTCTGGCTCTTGGTCAGCTGGGATTTGGAAGATGGAGGGAGGTGCAATATCTGTAAAAGAAAAAAGCGTTAGAGAGGAAGAGAAGCAGCAACAAGAGAATAATCTATCAACATGTTTACCTGGTGGTTTGTGTCTGACTCTGACCAGCTCCAAGTCGTGTGTTCTCTGCTGCAGTGTGGCCTTCAGGACCTGCTGGTACTCCTTCTCCTTTTGCAGCAGCTCCTCCAGCAGCCTGCATTAACATTGACATCTGTTATAGTAAGCACTAAATCTCACAGGCATTCAGCAGGGAGGGCTGCGATAGATAGCGCAGATGAGAGCTGTCAAATAGATAGAAATGTATGCAGTTATGGGTAATTGTAGGAAGAAGAAACTTGCAGAAGGAGCCTAAAGACTTTGTGTGGCCCTGCATGTAAAATTAGGTTATTAGTTAATCCAACTTCCTGTCAAGCGTGGGCTTAATGTGAAACACTGGAACAGAATGTATCGTATCCACACAAGTGTAAAAAAAACCACACACAAATACCCCCTTACAGCTTCTGTGCAGAGTGAGATTATTGCAGCTTTTTAACGGTGTCGTGTTGAATGTCATTGCTCACAGTGGCAAAAGTAGCTCCGCGTCCCTGCTAACAGGAAAATTAGAGCTACAAGCAGCATAATTTCAGTTTAAAAGAGCAGCTCAAAACTGGTGCGACCAGGTAATGAAAAGTGAACGTTTCACACAGACTGGAAACTATCAGGTGTGTATGGAAACCCGTTTCCGCCAATGCAATGGAAAAAAAACAAAAGATCCTGTAAGTCATTGTAACAAGAATTTTTTTTTTTCAAAATAATGGCTTAACTTAAAATAATGACTTAGTATCTCAGAATTATGATTTATCTCAAAACAGCGAGTCAGTATCTCAAAAATAATGAGTTAACGAGACCATACCCATTGGTAGCTTTGTCACCTTCTACCTATGCCAATCCTCAATGCCTGTGTGCAGTTTCACATAGATTGACCACGTCAGTGAGTAGAAAAACGTGGGACAGACAGAGTGACTGACAGATAGAATGACACACCGACAGTTTCCGTGATTATGTACAGCATACCATACCATGACTTAGTCATACCAAAAATTAAAAAAGAAAACAACAACATTCGGCCACAGGGGGAGCCACAGCGATCGGTCCCATTTTAGCCATTTTTAAGCATTTTTCTGTTGTTATAGCGCCACCCAGTTGCCAATTAGAGTTAAATTTCTCCAGTCACCTTGAGGCGTCCTGTTCTACATATCTACCAAGTTCAGTAAAAATCGATATGGCGGTTAGGCCTAGATAAGAAATTAGCTCTCTAGCGCCCCCATTTTGTTTGATGGGGTCAATATTGGAGGGGTCCCCTCAGATTATGTGTGGTCATATGCCTACAAAGTTGCGTGGTGATCGGTGAAACCCTTGAGATGTTATACACCTTTATGTGATGAGCCACGCCCTCCGCAATATTCATTGCCTTATAGAAGCTCAGTTTTAGTAAGTTTTCCAACTTTTGCCAAGAGGGAACTTTAGATATTGGTCCCTAGATTATGTTCACTGAGTTTCATGCAGATCGGTCAAACTTCCTAGGAAGAGATCGATTTGAAGTGTTTTTCAAAAAATTCAAAAAGGCGGAAAATCTATAAAACCGGAAGTTATGGGTTCTTGAGGCAAATGTGTTCCTCATGAGGAGAGGCATCTCTGTGCACAGTTTCATGTCTCTACGACATACGGGGCATGAGATATGCCCATTCAAAGTTTGCAATTTCAATCGGTTGCTATAGCGCCCCCCTTTGGCTAATTGATGTAATATTGCTTCATTCGCATCCTCCCATGACCCTCTACCACTGTGCCAAATTTCACATGGATTGACCAAGTCAGTGAGGAGAAAAACGTGGAACAGACACATAGACAGAGTTTTCATCATTATATAGTAAGATGGTTAGGAAAAAATGACATGTTTCAACTTAAAATACCCTGTCTGAGTAGCCACAATCCTGGCAGTAGAAGTAGAGATGTCTTACTAAATCCGCAAATGCTTTTTAGGTCACTATCCCAAGGGGAAAGCAGCGATGTCTCACTTTTTGTTACAACAGACACACACACACAGACAGAGTTTTCGTCATTTTATAGTAAGATATTGTGAAATAAGGAGAAGCTTTCTCAAAATAATGACTTAATATACTTAATTATTTTGAGATTCCAGCGCATTAATAACTCTGAGTTGGGAGAGAGTTACTGCCCCAAGCGAGGGAGTTCAAGTATCTTGGTTTTACGAATGAGTTCAGAATGGAACGTGAGATGGATTGGCGGTTTGGTGTGGCTTCTGCAGTGATGTGGGCGCTGCGCTGGACTGTCATTTTGAAGAGAGAGCTGAGCCTGAAGGCAAAGCTTTCAATTTACTTGCCCATCTATGTCCCAACCCTCACCTATGGTCATGAGCTATGGCCAAACAAGATAAAAAGATCCAAGGTACTTGTGGGCCCTGAGCGTCATCACAAATGTTTTGTAACGCATGGCTGACACCAACTGAATTTCAGTTTAAAGCCCTCATCAGGGTTCTGAGATAAAAAAACTATCACAGACACATGAGCTACAGGTGTGTGGCTGTAAGCCAAGAGCAAGGCGAGACTGCAAATTAATTTTAGTACAAAAGAATATGATGCTCCAACCTAAACGAAGCAAAAAAAGTTGAGGAAAAAACACCTCTACAAACACTTTTTAAAAACAGGTATCTTCACCTTAAAGATAGAGATCTAAGTCAGTCTCTTTCCCGGTGTCAACTCTCGTGGGGGTGTAGTTCAACATTGCATGACCACGCAATACTCCTCATTGCTGGCATATTTATCTTCACTTATTCTCTGCTTTAGTATATATCTAGTCAGGAAGTAATGACAAAAGGAGTGTTGCAGTTAATTACTCCTTTAATCAGTTACATTGTAAATTTCAGCGAAGGCTTTCTCCAAAGGCTGCCTCTCCCACATCATCATGTTTTAGTTGGAATCTGAAACTAAGTGTAACGAAAGTAACTTGTCGGGGCCTGTTTCTAACTCATGATGGGCCACTTTGTGTATTAAAGAGATCAGTCAAATGATTTTAAATCAGAATCTTTGTAACGTATTCTCAAATGTCAACACTGGCCTTATGTTCTCATCTGCTTTATAATAATACAATATACATTCAGTTAGTTCAGTTTTTCATAATTAATAGTAACATATTAAATCTGTGGTAAATATGTTAAAGATCCCATGAGGTCTTGCTGCTGAGGTTTTCCACTTTTACTTCTCCTGCTCTGGCCTGTGCTGTGTGTCATCACTCTGCGGGATCTAGTGACAAACATCTATCAGCCCTGCAGCTTTTGCATTCGTCATCATCATGGGTGGGTGTCTGTGCTTGAAGGCGCACATTCTCTCCATCTCCTCCGCTTCCTGTCACATGATCAATACAAGTGGAATTCCATCATCTTGCCCTCCATTCACACGATGTGCCCGCAGCACTTTTTTCATTTCTATGTGTGGGTGTGTGTGTTTGTGTGTGAGCATGCGGATGCGTGTATGCGAGTGCCATTAAGTACTGCTCATGTTGAAATCTCTGAATGGCACTCCCTCACCACATGTGAACCACATCAAAGGGAAAAAAGAGGACTATCCCACTTAACTGACTTTGTTTTTGATTGTTTCACTCATCTTTAGTTTAATGTGTAGCTAAGTGTTTTTCCCACAGTTTTGTTTATTGACATTTTTAGGTTTTCAAGGCCAGCTTCCGGACAAGTAAATAAACATACCCCTATACAGAGAGAGATAGAAAGATAGTAATAGTTATAATAAAAATAAGTTTAAAAAGATCTAATAAATAGAATAGTAATAATAATAAATTGCAAAATAATATAAATACATACGAATAGAAAAGAAAACAATTAAAAAAAACAAAAAAAACAATAAAAAATAATTTAAAGCAACACAATGGAGTTTTTGAGCCCTCAAAATATATATCCAAGATCCTTGTGATGGTACATCAACTCACAATAGGTTGGATGACACCTCCATCATTGCTTGAGAGCGTCTGTTTTACTTGCACTGGCACTATGCAGTTTCGGGGTTCGGGTAGGAACCCGGACACAAAAAAAGACTACAAAATTTGGCTGCTTTACGGCATACGTCATATCCCCCTCCTCTCTTTAGAGTAGCGTAGCCAAACCGAGGTGAACTAAGTTAGACGTGGTTGTCATAGCTGAAGCCACAAAGAAAAGGAAGAAGGTGAAGGTGTTGTCCGAGGAGACGAAGAAAAGAAAACGGGAGAGCGATAAAATGAGCTCGAACAAGGATTAATATTGGCCCAGCTTTCACATGCTGGAGAGAGCTGTAAGAGGAGGAGGTTACTGCTGTCCCCCCTCTACTAAGGAGACTCACTGTCTGTAGTGTTAGCCTACATACAGACAGCTTTCATTTTAGCTAGTGCGATGTGCTTGTGTCGACCATGATTGGAAATCATAATAGCGGTGAATGAGAGACTGTGGACAGAGCAGACTGAAATATGGCTTTCAAGATTCAAGATTCAAGACAACTTTATTAATCCCTTACAGGGCAATTTCATTTGACAGCTCACACAACAACACACACACAACACATAGAACATAGAAAGAATAACAAATAATTTCCCCTCGGGGATCAATAAAGTATTTCTGATTCTGATTCTGAAAATTGACAGCTGTGTGCAAATTCTGTTATTCGCCATGATGAATAACATTAAAATGTGGGGGAAAAAAAAAAACAAACACCAATAAATATGTTCATTAAAAATAGTCAATACCGGCACTGGATGATAAAATACATAGAGGTACACAGTACCCAATCCACAATACACACAATACAATTCATAAGGATGTGTTTAACAATCGGACAGCAGAGGGGATGAAAGAAATGCTTTCCTCCTTTCTACATGCTGATGACATGTATTGATAAAGTATTGGCTTGGCTGGCAGAGGTTTTATCGCACTTACTTACAGTAACAAGCGTAGTTGTCGTTAACTAGAGTAATCTTGAAGTTATATTCCCTTCATATGCACCGTGGCCTCTCTGCTGTTGTCTGACTTCACTCTGTTGAGTTTGTGTGTGTGTGTGTGTGTGTGTGTGCGCGTGCCCTGTGAGGAGGAGGTCAGCCCTGACATGCAGAGAGCAACTCATTTCTGAGTTTTGAAAATGAATAAATATAAATATATAAAGCAGCTGGCCTAATAATGTATGTACAAAATGCTATAAGGCTACTTTACCTGTTCTTAAGATATAATGATCATGCTTTACACGGCCAGCTTCAGGAAGTTCACTGGTATCGTTGGCTTGTCAACAAATGCACGCGCAGAAAGATTTTTGCGACAGTTGTAACAGACAATACCGTTTTTCGTCTATAGGGGGACCCCGTGAGGTAAAAAGCACAATCCTCCATTGTGTTGCTTTAAAGTAAACATGAACAATAAAGGATAAGACATAAAATAGCGTTTACGTGTGTGTGCTTGCATGTACCTGTTGGTCTCCTGTTTGAGTCGCCCCAGCTGGGCACCCAGTTGATGATGCGAGCGTTGATGCTCCTGTGAGTGGCCAGAGTTTAGCGTGCTGGCGGCGAGGTGGGTGGGATCAGCAGTCGTCCCGGGGTCGTCGGTGTGAGGCACTAAGACGGGACCAAACTCCTCTTCATCCACTTCATCTTCCTTCTCTGCTCCCTCACACTCTGACGCTGGGCCAAAGTGGGTCTGCAGCTCTGTCAGAGGCACATGTGGAGCTGTAAGCTAAGTTCTTGTGGCATAATATGAATATTAAGTAGTAATTTTATTGCAAACATGCAGATAAAGGACAGAAAGTCACACGTGTCCACTAGATGGCAGTAAAAACTCAGGCTTCTGACCTGGTATGAGGATGGTGATGGCAGCCTGCACAGCTCGGCGGATGATGTTATCCATCGCAAACATCCAATGGGGTTTGATGTGATGGTTCCTCAGGACTTTGTTCACCTGAGAACATTACACACACACACACAAACACACACACACACACACACACCATAAAGACAGATATTCAGACCAAAGATGATCTGTAATTACACACTCTAAGAACCAAATTGACATGTCTGGATGAGTCCATTTAGCTTCACTGTATAAAAACGGATGTACTTAGACACTTTTTTTGGGCTGATATCAAAAATTAAAGATGTAAGACATTTTTCCTACAATTTTCTCTGCATCATTTTGGATGAAGCTGGACCATTCTGCCAGGTCTGGTTCATACTGCGGCCTATATTTGAATATTTTCAAATTGATACAAAATGCTGATGAGTTAAAAGAATTGTGGATTGGATGAACAAATCAGGAACTTTACAATGGCACTTAATAATGACTGATTACTTGATGTTTTAAAACACTGCACGTTCATTTCTGCTATAAAACCAGAACAAAATTCAACATGGTTTCTGTCCACAAATATTCCTGAAATATTGCCTTATTACTGTGAAAATGTAACATGTTTACCAATGTTGTTTTTAATTACATAAACTCATATCAGCTATTTGTATCAGCCTACAATTGCTAGCATGTGTCATTTAACATTATGTCATGTCTGCCATTGCTGCGTCAAGCTGCTGCTTTGTTAAGTGCCAACATCATTTTAAAAGGGACAAATCCCTTGTATAACAGGTCGCATATACAGTACTAAATGAACTGCTGTGTGTGTGTGTGTGTGTGTGCTGACCGAGTCCTGGAAGCCAAAGAGCACCAACTGTATCTGATTGATGGAGGTGGAGTCGAAGTCCAGGTCCAGTTTGAGCTTGGAGATGGTGGCGGCCATGACGCGCCTCTCTGGGGAATGGATGAAGTCTCGTAGGATGCAGATGATCTGCTTGATGTGTTCGACAGACAGCTGAAGCTCTTCACTGCCCTATGCAGAAAACAAAAATCAGACCAAATGTAAAGTCTATCAGTGGGAAAGATTTATGGGACTGAATGGGTTTAAAATGTGGTTAAAAACCAAAATGAAAGACACTGCACATCAAGCATAGAGTTCCACAAAGACTACAAATTTAAAGCCTTTTGAATGAAAATGTGTCATCAGAGCTGTTATGTGTAGTATTTTAAAATATATGACATGGCGCCCCCGAGTGGTAGAAAAGAAGCTATGGCAGACAGCCTGAGACCTTTTTCCACAGCAGACATTTGACACGTCACAGCAGAAAAAGCACAGGTGTATTTAATATTATTAAATATAATTGCATTCCACTGAGGGGAGACCCTGATGTTGTGCATGCTGGGTCACTAGAATAGCTCACTGTGACACTTAATTAAACTGAGCAGTTGTTAATGTTATCAGTTTCACCTGTGCTTTTCCAACCACGACAATTTGAACGCTGAGTTTCATCAGTAGCTTTACTTGCCCACAGAAATTGGTATGAAGTAACGGTATTATGTCGTATGGAGGCCACTTGGAGAGCGGGGGGAAATCGGGCAGGGGAGGAGCGGGGTATTTAAATGGAACGCAGCTTCCTTTGTTCACTTTCAGCCCAACTATCACAGATCTTTTTGCAAATCATCAGATATACCTGCAGACTCCTTTCAGTGGGTGAAGGCTACAGGTTTATATCTGTTAAAACAGCACATTTTCTGTGTGATTACAGATAATATTTGAAATAAATCAGTCAAAACAGAACAGTACAACTATCGAACTAAATATTCACTGCAATTAGTTTCACGACATTTTTTTTTAGTAAAATATCAAGCTATCTGAGATTTCCTTAAGAAACGAATAGATGAGCAAATCTATACACATACTGCCACCTCACCATGGATGTATTTTCTTGCATTAAATGCATAACTGCAATGTACTGTGGTTGATATACACCTCCGGAGAGATCATCGTTGTTGACTTGCCCCTTTAGCCCTCCAAGCATTAATCTCCACAAGTTAACTTCAGTTTTTCAAACAAATGGAAGGACACTTTAGATGGCGGCAGGGATTCCAGTGAGGGCAAGTCAAAAAGGGCATGTTGAACCACTAATGAAACACAGCCTGCTGTGAACAAGGCCTATGCAGACTCTTCTTACCTAAGATGTACATTAAAATGTCCTGCGATTGAAAGTTTTACACTTCATAATGCAAGTGGAGTGTACTGAATTCATGCCTTAATAGATGTGACCTTATGTAGGCCACTTGAACAAAGCCCTATGTTACTTTGTTTCTGCAAATTTTCTAATGTTTGATGCAATGGAGAAAAAATAGTTGCAGATTATAGCATCTCTCAAATAATTCCAATTGACCTATGGCTGAGTCCTGCCCTCAAATGCGATGAGCCAATCACAGTGCGTATAGCCATTCCCATACTCTTAGACATTCTCTGCCTGGACGTTCATTGAAATGCATTACAGAATGTCAGTTTTCTCAACCAAGAAAAGTGTCTCCTTTGGATAAAGTTGTGTGGTAGCTAACGTTAGACCACAACATCAACTCAACATATATAAGATTAACAATGATGTCTACATCTGTTCTAAGGTAAGTTAACATAGTGTTTGAGGCAACATATTGTCACTTTGCTGGAAAGAAATATAAAGTTATCTTTAACATCTCTAGCTAACGTTAGCCAAAGTTAGAGTAACGTTAGCTCGTAGCTGCGTTGTTCATCATGTTACCTTGTTTGCTGGGAGTTCATTAGCCTATTTTGTTCTAGTTTTTGTACTTTGGTGATCGTACATCATTGTTAGCTGTTGTCCAAAGGGCTCTAGTTAAGCTAACGTTAACTTCTGGAGCTTAGCTTCATTAATTTATCTGTAATGGCAGAGATAACAAAGGTTGGAAAACGTTATGCTGAATGATTCAGTGTAAATACTGTAGCACCAAACCAACGGAGAGACACTCTTGATAAAGATGGTAAAAAAGGCCGTTATCCTTTTCTCATATTCTGAGCCAAAAACCTTAACCTCAGTGTGGTACTTAAACTTGTTGTCTTTGATGGCGATGGCAACGAGATGCGGTTCACAAGCGTACACTGTGACCTGTAAATTTTGGCTTGTAATTTAAGCTCTGCATTGACCTTCTCAACAATAAAATGATGAATATGATAAGATTTTTTTTTTTGGTATCACCACTTGGAGTTAGCAATGTCAGTAATGTCAATGTCATAGAAAAAAATACTATTTACTGATTTATCTACCGACTTGATTACATTTTTTAAAGGATTTGTTTTGTAATTCCTGCTCCTGGTGTGGATAATTCCTTGTAAGCAGTAAACCTTTGTCACAAACACACAAACACACCTGGATGTAGTTCTCCCTCACGTTAGAGATGACCTTTGCCTGGTCCTCATTGAGGACCTTGAACAGAATGGCCCGTCTCTCGCTGTCCTTCTTCAGCAGGAATAGACCGCTATCCCTGTCGTCAGGGGAGGGGGGGACACTGCGGTCCTCCGACACCGAACCCTCATCTGGAACACTGCAACACACACACACACACACACACAGAGTAATCTCACTGCAATATAAAATAACACATAAAGCACACAGCTGATTTACAACAGCATGACACACTGTCCAGTTTATTTACAGATACAAGCCTCTCCTGGCTACTATGTGTGCCCAGGAAAGTGCAGAAGCAGCATGAGTCAGCGCTGCAGGTCGTGCACGTATGTACGCACACACGTGTGTCTGAGCCCGCGCAGATGTGCGTGTGTGTGCTCAGCCGCCAGCTGCAGCTCATAAAATGATCAGACCTCATTATATCAGTGTTGTAAAAGGCAGCGGAGCACAATGTGGGCTCAATCAGGCCACCTGCCACTAAAACACACACACATACACACATACACACACGCACATTCATTTACATCTCGTCACATGATCTGCACCGTCCCAGCAGGATTTTGTCTGCAGTAACACATAGCTTTAACATATATATATATTTTTGCATTCAGAAAAAGTATGACTCCTCGAAAGAGGCTTTTCAGATGCCATCCAAGTTGCATGTGCCAGGATGACGTCACGGTTGGTGTAAGTAAAAAAGGTTTTATATGCAACTTGAGAAAAGCAGTGGCAGCTGAGACAAAGCAAGTCCAAGATGTTTAAGAAATCTGAAACCCATCTTTGAATTTGGATCTCAAAGTCCTGTAAAATCTATAAACTTGAAGAAACACATGTGCACACCTCAGGTAGTTGGAGTTGGGAGGTTTGAGCAGGTTCTCAGAGCCAGAGCTTTTCTTCTTCTGGAAGAAAACGTCGTGTTTGGAATCGCAGTCTGGGCTCACAGAACCGTGTTCACTGCTGCTGCTCCCGGTAGCCTCGCACTGCAACTGCACCGGCAACGAAACATTGTGGATGTAGTCTGGAAAGTAAGGAGGGAACATATGTAAGTCTTGAGACTTGAATTACCTTTTCTCATGCATAAGGACTTTGCACACCAAGTCTGTATTTTTCGTCCAAAATCGTTGCACTTTTAAAACTACACACTGCCTCAGGATAGGTCAATCATGTTGACATACCGACTCAAAACTTCTGTCCATCATTAAAGTTTTCCAAACAGGTTTGAGTTCCGGCGCTTTTTCACATCTGTCAAAAGCCTTTGATGAGTTGTGTGACCAAGAAGCAGTGACGAAAATGTGGTGTAACCTACAGGACATATATATCCAGTACAAGCGAGAGGAACGGGGCAGAGGTGGACAGCAGGCCAGGAAGTAAATGTCGAACCAATTGAATCAAAGTCATTCTTTAATCTTTCACGACAAACAGAAGGTAACGTTAGACTTTTCAGAAATGCCTAACAGCAATGATGATGGCTAGAACAGCGTGCAATTTCATAGTCACACAATATTATTTATATAAGACTCGGGCTGAGTGTGTACAGACAGGGAGGGAAGGGAGTAAAATTGTCTTTACATTTTGTCTCATACTGCTAATTTTTGCAACCAACAGAACAACAAAACGCATCAGACTCAGTGAACAAGGTTTCTGGAACAGTTTTTATCGGATAACGGATCAAACAGTCAAAAAATACTGACTTAAGCCCTATTTGGATGGGATTAGTTTTACATAGGTCGGTGGGGTAAAGTAATAATTACCAGAGATTTTAGTCCCGTCCGAATGTGCCATGTCAGTAATCATTACCGCACGATGTCAGTAAAGATTACCACCACTTTTACCTTCTGTAAAAGGGTTCCGGACAATCACTTCAGGTAATACTAATTTCGTGCGAATAGACCAGCAGTAAATATGTGTGTAGATACTTCGTCATATCCTGTTTACAAGTGGTATTTCGTAGATTTTCAAGCATGGAGGCTCTTGAAGAAGCACTCAGTTTTGCACTTCACAGTCAGACAAGTCCGTGTGAAACCTCAGGTACTGTGGGCCTACGACGAACACGATTCAAGTGTGTTCGAGTGTGGTACGCACAGGAAGCAACGTCATACACACATGACGACAGGAGGGGACGGCAGTGCGTGAATGGATTTACCCCTCCCACTTGTGGTAGTTGTACTGATATTTCTAATCCCATGCAAATTGGCCATTGATATTACCGACGTCCTGTGGTAAAGTGACATTACCCCACGTGCCCATGTAAAACTAATCCCGTCCGAATAGTGCATTAGTGTGCAAAGGCCTTTGCTCTACACATTCAGATTTTTCTTTTTCCCACATCCATGTCAATCACACTTTACACTTGAAGCACTTAGATTTTGCCACGATCCCCCCTAAACCAATCATATCGTTGCTGTCACGCTTTAAAATCTGTAAACTTCTCTGAGGCTATCAGCTGTTGTTTCAGTGCCTGATTAATGCAACCATCTTCCACCCCTCCACACCATTCACCTCCAGTTTCCAATTGCTTCATTCAATGAATTCATCAGGAATCCCACTCCAGATCTCATCCAGCAGGTCTTAATGTTGTTGTTCTTTACTTCTGTGCAAATAATGTTCTTGCCTAAGAACATTTTAAGCCCTTACTTCAATTAACAACTTCTTACTGAGCTACATTTAGGGGAAAAGGGAGCAAATCCCTTGCTCCTGAGCTGCTTACCGTTGTTGTGGCAGTGTCTTTCATGTGCGGCCTGTTGTGAGCTGTCTAACTTGTATCTTTTGTTATTTGTCACTGCTTGTGTGTGTGCGTTAACCTGATGGTTTGAAGGCAATCTTGCTCTTCTTGCCCTTGGTGTTGTGTCTGACGAAAGTGTCTCTGAGGAGATCTGAGGTGATGGCTCTCTTGTGAGGGTCCGGCTCAAAGCAGCGCAAGATGAACGACTTGGCCTCCAATGACAAGGACTCAGGGATCTCTGGGTGGATCTTAAACATGCCGACCTGTAACAGAAAACCACACCTACATGAAAGTATCAAGGCCTAGAAATTTGTTTAAGGAATGAAAGAAATCAAAACCTTGATCCTCCAGTGTCTCCAGCTTCTATTGTAAATATGTCTTCAGTTAACATGTGCAAAGCCTCATTTGAAGGCAAATACACAGATGGAATACAAACCTTAAACATGGCCGCCTGCGGTTCTCCCAGCTCATGAAAGGGTGGTTTCCCAGTGGCCATTTCTATAATGGTGCATCCCAGGGACCAGATGTCAGCCGGGGCCCCGTACCCTCGAGGGCCCTTATCAATGATTTCTGGAGCCATGTATTGCAGGGTACCTGCAGACAGAGAGGCAGATGGTAACCTGGAACAACAATGTCTAAAGGATAAGGAGAGTCATTTGCTAAATGCTAAATAATCAAGTCATTTAGCATTACTGTCAATAAAGTGACTGACAAACTGAAGCTGAGAATTTGAAATGAACGTTTCTGGACGCATGGCTGGAGCTTTAATGAAAGTTTGTTACAAACCCAGATTTTACTTCAAAGGAGGTCTTGTTACAAAAGAAAAGAATCCAAAATTAGTGTGTTCATGGTTCGCATTTGAACACAGACGTACTTATGATTTGCTTTTGAGATGCAGACATTTGGGCAAAGTGGCATTGCATGCAGCTGAAAAGAAAAATTCAACATTAAAGCTAATTTTAAGGACTGAAGGTATGATATTAAAGTTATTTTAGTCCCTAAACACTGAGTTCAGATGAATTGTTAATTATGTTTTGTTCTGTCTGTCTGTCTGTATTTTGTCTGTCGTCAGTCATTCTGAGCAGATCTGGCATTTGCGGTCTGCTCTAAATGCTGATGTAAACACAGGGAGACTGAGAGAGCTGTAAAAAGATGGAGTCAGAGGGAGAGACAGATAAGGACATACGCACACACACACACAAACACACACACACACACGCACACACACGTACACACATGCACACACACATATATACCTGCTAATGAAAGGTAAACACCCTTCTGCCTCTGCTTGATTAGCTAATCTAATTACTCACCTCGCTGGCTGCTGGAGGAGACCAGATGGTCATGAGTGTGTATGTTCATACACACGCACGCACACGTGTGTCAGAGTGTTTCCATAGAGGCTGATAGTGGCTCTTGACATTTTGAGGGTCATTTGATATTTACACTCATAGAGTGCAACATTTCTATGACACCATTTATGCAGTCCAGACTGAATGCTGTCCTGTCATGTGTGCAGTGTCTTCCTCTCAAAGTCATTACTGAAGCAGTTTATTATTTTGTATTAGCTTTATGTGGTATACAGTGTTATTTTTGCAATCATATATAGGAAAATAGATTTCATAATTTGTCTGAAAACCACAGATTTATCAGATGTATACACCGGGAAGATCCTCAGGAGAAAACATTTCCACTGTAAAACTGTTGGAGCCCCATGATTCATGAGCACTTTACAAAAAAGAGCCCATGAAATCCAGATTAAAGGAACATCTTGCTGAAAGTCATTTACTTTTATCTAAAGTTTCCATGAAACAGCTAGCAGAGTGCTATATAATTCTGCATATTAGAGATGCAGGCTCGTCCCCACGATGAAGCTGTGGCAACCTAGGTTAGGCTGGACTTCACTGGACTCAAAATTGGTATACGCCCCAAGTGCAGGATAAGTCAACATTTCCTTTTATTGGTTTTCAGGAGGTCACAAACTCCATTGAAATATATACCATTAAAAACACCTACAAATCATTGGTTGGCCAGACACGGGCCTAGGCCTACAGGTGATGATCAGTGCAAGACATGATACCTGATAAATAACATCAGTATTTATTTTATGGGAACTTAAAAGTATCTGGTTGCATCTTTGTATATATGGCAGTATACATTACATATATATTTAATTTACTACCTGTTGACAAGCTAAAAAATCTGAACAGTGTGTATATATTTATGTCTACATCCTGTTCTTGCGTGTTCATAACTGGTTCTCATTACGCATATATAATTACTACATGACTGCACTACTGTACACCAGTCTACTACCCCAGGACTATATTATGTTCTGTTTTATTCCTATACGTCAACTTCTGAGTTGTCTTATTTTTGTGTCATTTTTACTCTTAATTTTTTTTATACATATATATACAGTACAGGCCAAAAGTTTGGACACACCTTCTCATTCAATGCGTTTTCTTTATTTTCATGACTATTTACATTGTAGATTCTCACTGAAGGCATCAAAACTATGAATGAACACATGTGGAGTTATGTACTTAACAAAAAAAGGTGAAATAACTGAAAACATGTTTTATATTCTAGTTTCTTCAAAATAGCCACCCTTTGCTCTGATTACTGCTTTGCACACTCTTGGCATTCTCTCCATGAGCTTCAAGAGGTAGTCACCTGAAATGGTTT